AACTTATTTTATTGTTGTAACAGCCTTTTCTGATGTTACAACAACATCCAACCATATATGACTTTACAACAACATCCAACCATATATGACTTTTGAAGTCTAGATGCAATCGTAATAATTAACATGGAGTTTTAACTACCCCTAACCAAGCACTCGGGTTTAAACTATGAATAGAACTAAAATTTCAATGTTGCCCCCCGTCCTCACCTGCGTTAATAGCGTAGAAGACATCATTTGTATGAAGTTGTTCTGATAAGATATGTACTCGGTTTACACTATATATGTAATGATTATGATTCGTAGCATTCCCACTGCACAAAAGATATGTGTCGTCTATGGTTAGGTGAATGCACTAGTTCAAATATTCGGATGGACACAGATATTTAAAAATACTTTTTATAATCCGTTTATAGAGTCTGCAATGTTTAACATCGCGCGCAACACAACACATGCAGATGGATATTTTCAATATATGATGTTTGCATCATCGGCGAAATTTTTTTCAATGACGTTTGTATATGATTATATGTTTTCTACTAGAGTCCACTAAACATTCTATTGATGCTATCGACTGAAATCAATGAATATCTGGTTGCATCATCAGGACAAGTAGGATGCGTCCTCAGTTAATTAGGATACAAGTAGGATGTTTCTGTCCTCTCTAACTTTATATTGATGAATTAATAATTCAGGCAAATTTGGACTGATTTTGAATATAGATGGTATATGATCTACTAAACTGATCAGTAGGTAATAGTTGGAAAAAAATGGGAAAAAGGTAACGGTTGAAATTGATTAGGAATATATGGTGTGTTGTTGTAATGGATTAGTGGCCTAGATCAGTAAAAAGCTGAAACTGAGCACACCTTTAGACTGTCACATAACTGATTAGTGTTCTAAGTTAATTGTAGATGTTTCATCCTTTAACGCGCGTATTCTAATTAATGGACTACTGACCATAGATTGGATCAAAGTCAGGTAACTTTCCAGTTAATTATAGCACCTTAAAATACGCAACAAACCAACTATACATGTATCAGACCAGGATCTGAAGTAGTTGATTAATAAATATCGTCTGAGCGTCTGGTTTGTGCGCATCAGTGCAATCTACTGTTGTTTCCAGAAGAGTTCGGTTTTGAGATTCTTACACCGGAGGGTTCAAGTTTTAATTTAAAGGGGTGTTTGGTTGCATTGTTTTTTAGAAATGTTTTCTCAAAAAGTACAAACAATGATATTTCTGTAATTAAGAGTTTTCTATAGATTTCCACAAACTGTGTTTGGCTCAAAAAAAATTTACAGAAATGTTTTCTGTAAAGTATAGAAAAGTATCAAAATTTATAGAAATTGATTTCCTTCTAAAATGGGCGGAAATCTCTTGGAAATCTGACGCATTCATTATTTAAATAATAAAACTCATTAACACTTTTCTATAAAGTTCTCACTTTTCTATAAAGTTAGGGGTGTTTGGTTACATTTCTATAGATTATAGAAAATGTTGCTATTTTCCCAAATGTTATGAGTAATTTTTTTGTTTTGAACCAAACAAGCACAATACAAAAAATAAGAAAAGTTGTACTTTTTAACTTCTCAAAACTTTTCCTATAATTTTTTTAAGAAATACAAGGAAATCAAATTTTGGATAATTTTTTTAAGAAATACAAGGAAATCAAATTTTGGATGGAAAACATTTCCTATAATTTATAGAAATGCAACCAAACACCAAGGAAATCAAATTTTGGATGGAAAACATTTCCTATAATTTATAGAAATGCAACCAAACACCCCCTAAGTTCAACATTGCAGGGCACATCACAACTCGACATAAATATGTGAGCTCTAATCAAATATCGAACTTTTTGTTTTAGCGTAATTAAGTTTAGTGGACTTTCATAACTATTGAGGAAGCAAATATATATAGGGTTTTTCTATAGAGTGCTCATGGGTACTCTATAAGAGAGGAGATAGATAGAGAAAGATGATTGGGAAGGGGATCCCAATGCAAATCAGGTGGACCCCCTCCTCAATCATCTCTCTCTCTCTCTCCTCTTCTATAGAGTGCTCATGGGCACTCTATAGAAAAACCCATATATATATATATGCAAGGCTTTACTTGTATGTCTTTGCTTTGAGCTTTTATTTTGATTTTGCTTGCTTAATATTACAAACATTAACTACCCCTTTATATAGGTGCTAGGCTTTGACAAAAGAATTAAAAATTTTATTTAATACATAGATAGATTTATTCCGAATCTTATTTAATGCATAACTTTAGGTTTGGAATTTAACATTTCCAACACGCCCTTCTCAACTTAAAGTGTACTCTTGAAAATGATAAGACACTTTGTGCCGGAATGTGTATGCATGCTTCTTGATGTAGTTGTTGCTCAAGTACATGATTTTATAAGTCTTCATCTGATTCATCTAGTAGAACTTCTTTGCCTTTGTCATTGTCTCCTTTGCTCCATGTCCACACTCCTTCTTCGTCGAAAACTACATCGCTACTCACTACAATTTTATTAGTTGGTGAATTGTAGAGTTTGTAAGCTTTTGATTCTCCACTATAGCCAATAAAGATGCACTTTTCTACATGATCATCAAGCTTTTTTCTATTTGCCTCTGGTACTTAAGCATATGCAATGCAACCAAATACTTATAGATTCTCCACATATGATTTTTGTCTACTCTATGCTTCTTGTGGTATCATGTTCTTCACACTCTTGGTTGGACATCGATTAAATAGGTAGGTTGTGCATGCAACAACCTTTGCCCAAAAGTTCTTTGGCAAACTTTTCTCCTTGAGGGTTATTCTCATCATGTCGAGGATGGTTTTGTTCTTTCTTACTTCCACTCCCTATTGTTGTAGAGTGTATGCCGCTATAAATTATTGTTGGACGCCCACCTATCTACAATAATTCTTGCACACATTTGAGGTTATTCTCCACCTCAATCAGATTGAAGCACTTTCAGTTTAGAACCGCTTTGTGTTTCAATGCAAAAGAGTTTTCTTTTAAGAAATAAACCCATAACCTGCTGTTGTAGTCATCAATGAAAGTAATAAAATATCAATTACCTCCAAGAGAAGGTGGCTCCAATGGACCGCAAATACCAGCATGTACCAATTGTAATGGGGTTGTCACTCTTCAGGACTGTCCTTTAGGATAGGGAAGTCGATGTTGATTGTCAAGTGTGTATGCCTCGAACACATTATTTCTATGGTCAATTGTCGGGAGTCCTTGCACCATTTTTTTTAGAGAGTTGATTCAAACTTTCAAAATGTCCAAAGGGTAGGTGCCATTTCCACGGCTAGTTGTTTATGAGCTTGTAGAAGAAGCACTTTTAAAACTCTGTATTAAAATGGAGAGGAAACATGTGTTCTTCGTCATTTTTACCTTTGCCACTAGTCTTCCATTTGCATCTTTTAAGCCAATAAAACTATCTTCCATGTGTGTTATATATCCTTTTGCTAGGAGTTGTCTCAGCCTAAGTATGTTGCTTTTCATATTGGGTATATAATAAACTTTGGAGATATATGGATTTCCATCTTTTTGAAAAATTTTAAATTTTCTTTAAATTTGACATGATGTT